GGCAGCCTCCCCTCGCCGCCCAGTCCGCCTTTAGCTACATCCCGACCAGCCGGGAAGGGCCTCCGGAGCTCAGCTATTTCAACCGGAAGGCCAAGGTGAGGGAAGGGGCCCGGCCGGGCCGGGCAGTCTCGTAGGGTCCAACGGGGCGAAAGGGGCGAATTTTGCGCATGGGTTTCTGCGCTGCGTAACAACGTTGTGCTCAGTCCCTGTGCAAGGGGTAAGCCCTCATCATGGCTCCCATGACCCATCCTGGTCAGGGAGGTGCCTAGAAAAGTTCCATTAATATTTTAAAGGGCAGCAGAAACGCCGTGTGTTAGCCACGAGCAAGGCTACTTAATGCCTATATAGCAGGATTCGTCTTCAGAGGCCTTTGCGAAGTGTAACACGTGTGCTACTTGTGGATGGAAAACGACGGTAATGGATGGCAGGAGAAGGCAGAGACGTGATTTTCCGGGGATTAAGGTACATGGTATCACTAAAATGCGAGATATCTTTAGGGAGAACACTAAGAAAGGCATCATCTGTCACTGGGTTTTGATGCAGCACCTGTGTTTTTTCTGGTAGTGTGCACTCTCAGAGACCCTTTACTAAGAAACTGTTCCATTTTCAGTGGAGGGAAAAGGCATTCAATGTGCCTTGCCAAAATTTTCTGTATGCTCAGTTTTAATTAAGAAAATCGGTAGAGGTATTTTGAAATAATAACATCAATACCTTGATAACTGAATGCTTCTGGAGGTGTTACACTGACACTCAATATATAACTTAAATAGACTAGCAGGGAGCCTCACTCCTCACTCTCTGCTGTGTTTTGTTACGCCTTTCCTTCATTCTGTCTTCATATTTAAAATTAGAAATTAAAACAATCTTACGCCTTCAGCCACAGTTGTGCTATACTTCCTGAGTGGCAAACCTTATTTTTTTGAAGAGAGTTATATGAGACATTGAACTGAATAGCTTTTTCCTCAAAAAAAAAACAAAAACAACCAACAACCTACCCCCCCCCCAAAAAAAAAAACCACCATCAAAAGGTTCTGAAATGACCATTAGATCAGTGTAATATAGCAATAGTCTGGCAACATATATTTATATATAACAATAAATATACTCCATGAATCCCCTCTCAACCCAAATGTCTGACTGCTGAATGTGCAGAGAGCACTGGGCAGTGGTGAGTTTGCCCGTCGTGTGGCCCTAGGGTGTGGATAGGGTGCAGGCCACAGCACAGCGCTGGGCGTGAAAAGAACAGCAAATTTCCTGCATTGACCATGTGGCCCTGCTAAAAGACAGGTAGGTTTGTAGAGTCAGATTCTTTTGTGTTGATTTCTGCGTTACCTTGGGAAGGTGTCTGAGCCAAACCTGAGCAGGCACAGTTGGTGACAGGCTTAACACAACATGTTAGGAAGAGCACAGGAGTAAAGCTGGGGCATGTCAGAGGGCTGGCACAGTGCTCTTGGGGCTAGTAGAGCTTGCAGTCTGCATAGGATTAGCAACCATATGGTAGAGCTTTTGCTTACAATATGAAGACTGTTTTCACACTCCCGATGACATGGTTTGTGGAAAATGCTGCTCCAGTGGCATGGATACAAAAAGTAGTAGCAGCTGTCTAATAGGTTTCTTCACAGCACAGGCCTTGGCCACCAGGGAGGAAGCAGATTCAACCCATTCTTCTTCACAATTAAGGTATCAGGTCATTCAATTTTTTTCATTTATACAGGAAGAGGAATTTCATTCCTTTTTGCAGCTTACTGTCACTAAAATCAACTGTGTGTCAGAGACAGAAATGGAGAGACGTAACAGGAAGATGTGTCTAGCACGTGGCCAGAAGCCAGAATTTCCTGCCTTTTAACTCACTGGCTGACATTTGCTCCTTTGATTGTTTTAAAGAAGTTACTGTAGCCAGTTTGCGTGGTTTTTCCTCTTCTTTGACATGGAGAAAGCTATTGCTTATTCACGTGTGTCTGGAATATTAATGAATGCAAAGTGCTTAGCTTTAGTAGCAGTACACGGAGGATGTCCACTCTGAGTGCAAGTTTATTATCCGCTCTGCGTGATTAACTTGCTCTGATGGGTTTAGAAAACAGGTCACCACCACCACCTATGCCAACTAAGTCAGCATTTAACAAGAGAAACAACAGCAAAAGTTTATCAGTATATTGAGCACAGAAGTGTTGCCTCTTCTGGCAAATCTTAAACAGACCACCTGGGACAGGGCTAAGTTTTAAAATAACAGGCTGGCTACCTATCTGCGGATTCCAGAAAGAATGAATTATCTACTCTGACACAGGTAATAAATAATGGACAAATAATGCCACATGAATGAAAACAAAGGAGCAAATAACATTCCCAGTGGTGAGCACAAATTAGATGCCCTTTAAAATTCTGAATGCAACTGGTAGCAGCGGGAGGAAAAGAGAAACAAGGAGGCACAGAAATAATAGCGATAATGGAGGCAAGAAATCAAATGCAGGATGCTTTTAAATGTGCCTGAAATTCTCTGATGCTTGATAGTTTCTGAGAAATGAAGGTTAAAATTAAACCACCTCTTCTCTTGGCAGAACCAAGTAATGGAGATACTCTTCCAAATTAAGCCTGTGATTACAGCAGCGCCTCACTACACTCTTAACTATGGTTTCCTTTTAATCTTTTAATGGAACCATTATAGCCTTCTTGACCTGCCCTGACTTGATTATTTTTGGAGGATAGCATTGTGAATTGTAAGACTCAAAGTACAAGAGTTTTTTAATGGCTAAATTGGGCGCACTGGAAAATTAGAGGAAAAGAACACCCAACATAATGGACAATTACATAAATTTGTAGTCAGGCATGCACAAAACCAGTGATTGATTGACATGTTTACCAGAATATGGACTTTTTAATGAAGTTCATTAACAACTGACAGCATATGTCAAAAGAGGGTTTTGCTTTTCTTTCCTTGAAAACTTTTCTGGTTTTGAAATATCTTTGATTCCATTCATGAGAAGTTCCTGACTGGATTTCACAAATGCATTTGTTAGCAGATGAGATCTTTAATGTTGCTTATTTGGATGCAACTATGTCAACAGGTAACATATATACAGTAACATTCTAGCTTGGGTGGTGCTGTATTTTCATACATGACAGATACATGCATACTAGTGGATCACAGGATTACCACTGTGGCATGTTCCTGAATTCTTCTCAGTTCTGCTCTAATCAGCAATTAAATGGTGATTCTGCTGCAGGATATCTTTGTCTTTTTCATTCCAAATGAACTTTTAAATTAAAATGCCTGCCTTCCTTTCACATTACAGTGAGAGATCATTTAACAGTTATATGAAACTAAGAAGAATAAAAAGTTCAGAAAATAAAAACAAGTAAAGCAGTTAAATTTCCAGAAGTTACAACAGATTACAGGGGAAAAGAAGTTAAATTGCCACAAAGGAAATGTCAGAGCTGAACAGACTTAAAAAGAAGATACCACATGCCATTAGGTATTTGTATTGCAGACTAATCCAAAAGAGTGACCCAAACTTGCTAATGGTAGCTCAGTGATACTACAGTTGTCGTCATCTAATAATACTTGTGAACCGTTTAAGTACTGATTTGACTATGTATATTCTGTAACCTGTAAAGTTAAGCAATAGTGGGAATTAGCCATCTTTTCTCCTTTCCTAAAGACAGGAGATGTTTCCACTTACGATGCCATTTTTAAAAGACAAGAGGGTTACAGTGAGTATCTTCACCGAAGTGACAGACAACATGCAAAGAGTCGTGGTCTTAACATTATTGAGGAGGTAACCCTTTGATGAATTAATTATCTTTGTTAAAGATATCTTGTACTTTTTGATGTGACTGGAGACCCTAGGCATTGTTTTACCCATTATAATGCAGCCTGTATGATAGGAAAGGAATCGGAAGGAGGACATTGTTGCCCTCAGCCTGAAAGTTTAGGGGAAAGCATTAGCTAATGACAATATCTGACTTAGTTCCTGCTCTTTGGCGTTCTGTAGATTTTCAGGTGACAAGGCATATGCAAGATATACACACAGCAACACAAACCCACAGCTATTTCTGTGATCCTTGGAAACTCTTCTCCCCAGGAGGACTGGATTCAGGGCCCCAAATCAGCCACTGTCCTCTGACACCCACCCTCCCTATGGCAGCATTAGTGAGAGACCCCAGGTGTCTGACACTGGTGAGTTTGTTATGCAAACTTACAACAGATTGCCCTGCAGGGAGGAAATTCACAGTGAACTGGTGCAAATGAGGGGTCAGTCAGAAGACCATGGACATGCCTGGAAAAGGCTGGGCAAAGCATTCAAGGGCAGCAGAATCTGGGTTTGGTGTGCAGCTTGATAGCTAAGGAAGTATGCAGCAATGTTTTTAAGCAGCTGCCTTGAAAACAGAAATACTGTTATATATATGTGCATATATATATACATATGTATTTTTCCATGGAGCAACCTAAACAATACACATGTATACTAAAGTGTTTATATATTTCTGTTTCTACACACACACACAAAGGCTGTCAAAACCCAAATGAAGTGCAGCTTCTATGTGTTAATGGCCTCAAAATCCCAACGGGTTCATGGGATGCAAACAGATGGGTAGTCTAGGAATGGCTGCCCATGTTGGTGATTATATATGATAGACGTGGAAGAAGGAAGAGAGAGACAAAAGTTAAAATTACTGTAACTGGTGTGTAAAAAAAGTTGATATTTTGTGACAAAGGTCACTGCTTATGATTTGTCTCAGTAGCAGCTATGTATGCCAGACATTTCAATGTAAGTGCATAGCCATAATGCCCCTCAACATTACCACACAGTGCAGGGAGTATTAAGTGCTCCCAAAGGAATCCTAGGAGTGCCCATTCCCATCAGCTGCTCATGCCTAGCAACTCAGCTGCAAATCTGCATGAGACCAAAAGCCATGCTAATGACTACTCAAATTAAAAACTAACCTCTATTTAAACAAAACAAATGTAAACCTCCTCCCTCAGTTTCAAGCCCAAACTCTGGATGGGAAATTTGTGTATAAACATTTTATCAGTGCAGAGTTAAGGTTTCTTGTATCAACCAAAAAAACATGTAGGGGCCAGAATTCATGCCAGCTCTGCTGGGCAGTGCATGCAAAGGACTCTGCCTGAACAGATGTCCCTTAATCCAGCCCTTGATATAGCATGGGGACACATCAAACCCACAGCTGTTAAAAGTTACAACATGATCCTCCTGCACGTGATGACACCCAACACTGGACTTACCCATAGTTAAGTTCAGGTCACAATCTCAACTCCTGCCTTAATTACCTCAGTGGCCCTCACAGACTTTTTATAAAAATAACTTTATTAGAAAAACATTAAAATAAAAAGGCCACCATCAACATCTTTCTAGTACAACACTGAAAGCAGACAGGCTGAATCCCCTACAGTACGCTGCTTTCCCTGAAGTGGAAAAAACCAAACCACTGCAAGTAAGCCCTTCATTTCCTGCAGAGAGCCTGGGTGCACCCTGGGAATCCAAGAGTACAGTCACAGATTCTTGGTTTAGCTACATGGAGCACTGTAACTGCAGCAGAGTGTTTGCAGAAGGCTGCTTTCAAGTGTTCACAGTGCTAGAATTACACTTTGTGAAGGCGTGTAGCAGGACACTTCCCAGCCAACTGTTGGAAAATCTGCTGAATGCTGAAGCCACAAAGATGAAATGCCACTGTGCACAGTCAGCACTGTGCAGCTACCAAGGATGCTGAAAACTCAATCTTGTTTATTTGAAGGGAAAACAAATTATTGGAATTACATACTGCTGCCTGTCATTAGCACTGTAAACCCTATATCACTAGCAAAGTCCTTCTTGGTGGTATAAAGATTCTGCTACTTCTCCTTTTTCAATGTTTATACTCAGCTGGGGTGAGGGAGGAAATGTTCTTGGGTTTTGCCTGCCACTCTTGAATTGATTTTTGTTCTGGTGGAGTTAAAAGTTGGTGTATTGAATAACTTAATGGGGTAGAGCAAGGAAGGCAGGAAGGGTCAGTGGAGAGTTGAGGGATGAATGGTTGCTTTGGACTGGGCTTTTTTGTTGGGTTTTTGGTTTGGTGGTTTTGGCTTTGTGGGTTTTGGTTTGGTTTTTGAAAAAATGGATTATACCATCTTCCCAAGAATCAGAGGTCAAGTTCTGTCCATAAGTCTAGAAATGTCTCTCAGCTGACTGCCCTGCTAAGAGACCCCTTGGATCTGTGCTCCCACCTGCATCCTCACAGGAAACACGGGCTTATGTGCTTCATGGGTTCTACCTTAAGTGCTGATATGGCTCAGGCTTGCATCTGTCGTAGCAAAGAAGTCGTTTGTTTGCACTTGAACTGTGGTATGGCATCCACATTTTGATTCTCCTTTTAGATATTATTTATATCATAAGACTAGGTAAGCATATTGGGGACCTAAGCTTACTGTGTTAGCCACTGTGCAAACATAACGAGCAGCCTGATAAACATGAGACCTTTGGCTAGGGAGGGAAAAACAAATAATTCCTGTCTTTCCCTTCTGACTCCAAAGCTCTCTGTTGCTGTAGCACAGGAAGGAACTGCAGATTGCAGACAGTAATTGCACAAAGTACAGTTTTCTAAGAAGAGGCTTAAAATAATCTCTTCTTATTGTTCACTAAGTCCACTTCCCATCATTGCACAGCAGTTATTTCTGTAATCTTACAACTACAATAATTTTTAGTAAATCCTTTCATTGTGCAAAAATACAGCAATATATGATTTATGTCCTTCAGGGAAAGTTTTCATGGACTAATGGTTGCTCGGAGTTTTTCTTTAGGCTTTATTTTTAACATAGGGGGCTTTCACTGAATTGTGCAAGCAACTTAGGTGTTCCTGTAACAGGGGACACAAATTAAATCTCTCCTATTTTTCAAATGAATCACACAAGTCACTGTACAAGAAAAATATGAAGGAAAAATCTGTGCCACTTTCCAGTAACATAGCAGTTAGTTTGCCAGTAATCACATGGTAATCATCTTTTTGTGTGTGTGTGTGTGTATAAAAAGATTACCAGTCCACAGGAACTGATGGCACAGACCCGTATCTTACCATCTTGTCATCTAGTGATACATTCATGGTTTATTGATATACATAAAGAACTAGATCAGGGATGGAACAGTCAGAGTGCAGAGCACTGCTAAGTAAATATACATCTGTATAGCAGATGCTGTACAGTTCTGTCTATTATTTTGCCCCTGGCCACAGCACATTTAGCAATAGATAACTGCCAAGTATTCACTCTGTGATTTTCTTATAAGGAAACTTTTATATTTTCACAGGAAATGGCAAGACCTGTCGCTGTTTTGTCATCTTCAGAGCATGGGAAGCGCATAAATAAGCCCTTAGAGCAGCCAGTCAAAACTCATGCAAGGATTAATCACGTGAAGGCAGATTTCTACAGAAGAAATGGCATCATCTGCTTAACGGAAAGACCTTGTCCAAGCCTGGATCCATGCTAAATCTCTCATATCTGTCATTGCCAGCAACATTTATGTGGGAAAAAAAACCACCTCCTGTCAAAAAGCAATATGGTGCTTTTGCCTTTTCCTCTACATTTTAGTTAATGAGAATGATTCAGATTAAAAATAGGATGAAAGAGCAGCTGTACTTCTCCTCATACTAATTCAAATGCATGTCTTCTTCATACAGTCTCATAAAAATCTCATGAAGAACAGCCATCAGCAAGAGCTGAACATTTTGGGCAGCAACACTGGAAGCAAGACCTGTTGGGTCAACAGCTGTCTCTCTGCAGTTTTAGGCAGTGCTGCTACATAATCATACACAGACATAACATTTAATCAAGATTGGTCCTCAAAGAATCAGTCGTCACTGACTTCTTAGTCCTTACAGTGTTGTTACAGAATTGCCAGGTGCCATTTTATCTGCATAACAGCTGAATCGTGGATTCAACCCAGATTTTTCAGAATGGATGGGCTTACCCATAAATAGACAAAGAAATTATCTGGCTTCCGGAAGTGCTTAGCAGTTTCAGCAGACTTCAAGTGGATGACCAAGTAAGGGGAACTTCTGAGTATTTAGCATTTAAGTAGACAAAATCTGAGTTCAGCTGATTTCGGACATCCATTTTGCTGACTTTCACTATACAAATGGTGTCTGAGGGATTTGATCTCTTCAAACGTATCACAAGAAAAATCATCTCTGGTTCTGTATCCAATGCTGAAAAAAAGAAATAAACACCACCAAACAGTACTACTAGCAGAGCAAGCACTAAAAAGTTTGGTGGAAAGAATGGAAAAAACATAAGGATTTGAGCAGTAGTCATTTAAAAAGCATGTTTAGAGTGAACGTCTAACCCTGCTTTAACATTTAGTGCCTTGTATTCTCACTGAATCCAGCACTAATGTTTTAAGGTAATTTCAGGAGAAGGAATATCTCCTACAGGGTGTGCATCACTTTGGTTCTCAAGAACCATTGATCCTGCTGTTGCTTAAAGCTGAGGCAGTATTGTTCAAAAAGAAACAACAGCCAGGCTGATTATACCAGAAAAAGGACTGGAGTCCACAGCTTTAACTGACACTGGAGTTCTGTCAGGTAGTTGCACAGAGGAAATCTGTATCGTTTGTGAACACAGTGAATCTCCTAGTGAAAAATAAAAAAAAAAAAAGAACTTCTTAATCTGGGTCCCGGATAAGTTGTAAATTAGGCAATCAATAGCACTTGTTTGCCATGATGTGAGAAGGAGAGCACACAGAACAGCCCATTCTGAGAGGTGTTTGTTACTCTCATTATGCATGACCACCAAGTTTTTCTATATTCAGTGAATTAGGGACAAGAGAGCAGTAACCGCTGCATTCCTTTTCAACAATAAATACTTCGTTAAACAAATCCAGTAGCATTAAATGAATCACAGTAAGAACAAAGCGAGAAGGAAATGTTTTCTAACAATACCAGAATGCTTTCTCAAAAATCAGTCTCAGATGTATACCAGTGAAGAATGAGATGGAATACGGCCATATTCTAGGCAGGTTATTTTTAGCTTGGGACAGTCAGTACAAATTACTTGTTTTAATTAGTCTTACTATATCTACAAATCATCTGTGTTTGAACAACTACTGGAAATCAAATTTGTTTGAGAACACCGCCACCTTCTGGCCCGTGTGAGAAATAGGCATCACCGGCTCATTTCCACGGTGGAGAGTCATAATTCATCGAAACACCAGTATGAGTTTTCCTATCTCATTTCTTTGCTTATGTCACCTCCCCTTCTCTTTCAGTCCCTTCTCACCCATCCTCACTTTTGAAGGATTTTCACAGGTTGTTTCACGTACTACTGGTTTCTCATTCAGCTGAGCGTTTGATGTCTCCCTTCAGTTCTGTGTCAAAAGAATACCATGAGGATTTCTTCTGTATTAGGGAGGAGTTCTTTATAAATGTCTGCAAAAACATTTCAGTCCTTCAGTTTCTGCCTCACTAGGATGACAACTGCTAGGTTATTGATGTGCTGTATGCTTCCCTTTACACTGTTGGAAAGTATCTCATTACCTCTTTGTGCTGCCTCACCTGTTAGTGCTGACATACTATTATGAGTAAGGGTATACATGCACCAAATTACCATGAATTACTGCACAGCATGACGCAATGTAAATCATATCTTGGATCTAGATTTTGCATCAAAAAAACTCCCGCGATTGTTGGGACACCCACAACTCACAAAACAGTAGCCTCAAAAAGAAAAATGGCCACATTCTGTATTTACCGGTGAAACACAGAGCTTCAATGATGTACAAGTTTCACCTTTTTTGTATCAAATCCTAACAGTTAAAATCAGACCAACTGATCTGGGAATTCTGCTTTGCTACTTATAAATAATAATTCCACACAGGACAGGATGCAAGAGCTAATATGAAAACGTATTTAAATGGCAGCTCACCAAGTACACTTTATGCAACCGGAAATAGGGCTATGTTATTTTCCCTTCATCTATCTGTAAAGCAACATGTTGACCTAAGTTAGGGCACACTTGTTCCAGCTGATGTGGTTACTGATTCCAATTCTTAGTTCTAACCTTCTGCCAGAATTTATACTCATATTAAAAAAAAAGACTGTGCGGGACATAGTTATTCTGAGCTTCAGAGTGTAACCGAGTTTCAGTTTAGGCTTGAATGTCAGGCTGTAAACTGAAGGAACTCTGGAGCATATACATTTAGACCGCTTAGCTAAAACTGCCACCAAAGACAAAACTACAAGTAGTACACATACAGAATTTCAGATGGCCCCCCAGGAGACAGCTGTGCTACTCACTACCCTGTGGCAGCTTTCTTTTACAAAGTAAAGTGAATCTTTAATAAAAACTCTCTCATTTTCTTTAAAGAAGTGCTATTTAGTGAACAGCCTCTGCATCTCTTGCATGAGCAGTAAGCCAATACTGCTTGTGCAACTTCTGCAAATTCTGGGTTTATGAAACACTTGGGAAATCATACAAACAGCTATAAGCAAATTGCCCAATTTCTTTTTACACAGTTAAGAAAAGCCCTGACTGGTAGGTAGCGTAGCACACTAGGTACATTCAGACCAGACAGAATCGCTGAATAGTCACATCTGTCCATCTGCAGTTGTGAGTGAGAACCAGTGATGATATAAAGGAAACACAGCACTGACTCTTACATCTGTTAGCTTATAATAAACATTTACACAAAACTTAAGAAAATATGTGGCTCTTTATTGCTCTTTACATGTCTACTTGTTCCAAATATTGGAGGGTCTCATATTCAGAAGTTCAAATTATCTTAGGTGGAGTTATTTAGAAAACAGAATTGTTCTTCATGCACAATATTTACAGTATCTACAGTAGAGGAGGTCAACCTGTGATTTAGTCTTATTCTCCAGTGTCAGCAGCTGAGTCCATATGTATGAGAAAAGATTTTTTTGTGTAGATATTCAGCTATTTTTCTGCAATTTTGTAGACTCTCTATCTCAAAAAATGGAATCTGTAAACAAAACAAAAATGATTGCTGGAAATATCTTTAATGAACAAGTGGATAAGACCAATGTTCATTTCTCAGATGTAAAATTACCCATCAAAGATTTGTCTGTTTCAAAATTAAACATTTAAGCCTAATAATATTACTGGTCTTTAAATCACCTGAATAAAGATTATTGTAAAACAAAGAGTGATATCCATACAGAGTAAGTTAAATTTAATGGGTAACTGATTATAAATGGAAAAGAGAATCTCAAAAATCTAAAAGTAACTATTTTGGTTCAAAGTACGTTTAAAGATAAAAATACCCCATTAATTCAACAGGCAAAATAAAAGATACACTCTGTTGTGAAAATATTATTTACAATACAAAGCAGTTTGGCAGGTTTTTTAACTCTTTTTAAAGTCCAAATTCAAACCTTTCTAAAAAAATATTCAATTAAAAATCACAATTCTACTGAATTCTTAGACAACATTTTCCTTTAAGTCAAGATTTGGACCTTAATCACTGTGGAGAAGTACTCTCAGTCAGCCATTATTTGGCATAAAACACAGGCAGAATACACTAACTGATCCAAGGAAGAAAAAGGAATTTCTTTAACACCCTCCGAAAGGCAAAATCTAGGCAGAGAGAACACAATACAGAAAGGACACGACTACATCTGCCTTGGGAAGTAAATGCAACTACAGTTTTAAGCATTATAATATAATAATATTTCACTTGTTTTGTTAGCCAGAGCAAAAGCAAACCACTGTCTTTGGACTTTACCTGTACAACTTCATAACCAAGTAACCGAAGATGTCTCTGTTTAATAGCTTCTTCTCCCAACAGATTGTGGCTATTAATGCAAAATCTATTTTGACCATCAACACAGAGGGCAATTCTACAATCAAGCACAAAAGTAGTATAAAAAAAAAATACCCAAAACCAAACAAAACAACCCAAACAAAAAACTCCCGGTTATTTTAATAACCACAACTACTGCAATTCCTAAGAACCAAGAGACAATGCCTCTACTGTTACTCCCTAATACCCCCAGAATTAGGTATTGTAGGATGGGAGTTACGTAGTTCAGGATGATTAAAATCACTCACTTGAACAGTGGGAGGGGTAAAGCCTGAAAGCTTAGTGAAGCTGATCTGAAAAGCTTATTTATATGCTCTGAACAAAAACAAGTACTGGTAAACTGTTTGGAATTCTTCTAGATGGAAAAGCATACAGAATACTTGTCTCAGCTTCAAAACATTTTAGCAGTTAAATTTATTCAGCTTATTAGCATACCTGTTCACTCTGTTGGGAGTTCAAGTTTAAGCTACATCTGTTTAAGTCAACCTGTACAGATGGATGGCAGCATCATGGATTATAACTATATTTTTTCTCCTTAGTGATAAAAATCACATCAACTTAGTAATTTAAAAAGGAAAAAATTAAAGCCCATTCTTAAACATTTAAGTGTGGGATTTTGGAAAGAATATATATTAGTCTGTTAATCTTGTAAAGGTTAAGCTGAAGAAAAC